AACCCGTGGCGTAAAACTCGGACGGAAAGTACGAGTCGTTGAGTTGAGCGAAACCCTCCTTCTTGTAAAACTTTAACGCTTTCAATATATTAGTGGCCGCCATATCTTCGTCCACTAAAATACGTGAGAAATCATATGAATAAACACTTTTTTGTCACATATTTCTTACGTTTAATGTCTCGGAGATAGCGTTCAATGATATAATCCTTGTTTTTGATGTGCTCGACGTCCATCTCATCAAACTTATCCGGATTAATGCCCACATATTTGACCACTTTTTGCCGCACTTTTTGAACACGGTCCGTCAATGTCACAATATTTGCCCCTGATTCAATTATTATAAATAAATTATGCAAAATAAGTAGATATTTTAGAAATTTTTTATTTTCAGACATTTCTAATTAGTCGCTAAAATGTTTTCATTTAATATAATTACGTAATCTGTGTACTAATGTAATTTAATTAAATGTTATTAGAAATTAACCCATGAGCACTTTTAGCACATGAGTGAAGACACTATTTAAAATTTTCATTAATAATTTAATAATAGATTTATAAATTAATATTAGTTATAAAGTCTGAATAAATTCAATAATAACATATTGTAAAAGCTAATATTATATAAATTACTAATATTGTTATTATAACTTCACATTCATGATTATTGAATATTACCGATATATTGATATTTATTAATAAAATCTATATTTGCATTACAAAATAATATACTTTTAAAAAATTTTATAAAAATAAAAGACATAAAAATTACAATGTATAACGCTTACACAATGTACAATGCTTCCCTAATAATCAATAATAATTTAACAACACAGCCACAATTATCTTAATCAATTTTAGGCTTTAGACTTAAATGTTTAGTCACAATATTTAAGATATTGTTTAAGAGATGTCTGTCCACTGGCTTTCATGCCCTCTTCAATGCACTTCCTATTAGAGTCGACCCATTCATCCCAATCCTGTTTCGGGATGTGTTTCAAAGTCTTCAAACATCGGCCGCTCTTAACATCCGCTGGTATTCTGTTATGATTTTTCTTTTTGCCGTCGATATAAACGGGTATTTCATCGAGACTTATGTACTCTTGTTTTGACATTTGAGTGAATTTAAACACGTTTTGAATGTCTTCATCCAATAACATAATAGCGGTATTTATTACGGACTCTACCGTTGGATTCATGTTATAGAAAACGGACGTCTTATTGATAACTTTTTGATGATTTTTGTTCAAATATCGTATTAAATCTAAAAATACCGCTAATTTAATGCAAACATTATACATTAAAAATTTATCATATTGATATAAAAATAATTGAAACAATCTTATTACGTACTTTTGACAAAAACATTTTCCATGCTCATATTCTTAATCATGGCGAACGAGGTATAATTGAGCCGTGCATTTTTTACTGTAAAATTGTCAATTCGTGATACAATGAATTGTCGATATAATTGATTAATGTCTTCATTTTGACCCAATAGTAAACACCTCATTACGATTCCCTGTACGGCAACGCCCGCCTTGTTTCGGATCCCTTCCACGAAAAAGCCAGTTGCGTAAAACTCAGCAGGGTAGTACTCTTTCACTACTGTTTTATTATATACAAATGAGTGGACAACTGATGATAAAATAGTTATAATGAACGATATTGTTATGAGTTTTATCATAATTATTTATTGAAATTAGTATTCTTTTTAGTAAAAATATGGTTTAATAACAGTATATTAAATGTTTTATTTGATTTTTTATAATTAAATAATTAAAAAAGTTTAATAAAAATTAATATGTGTTCACACATATTGGTAACCCCCTCCCCATCTGAACCAATAAACTTTTATTATAGTATTTTATGCGTTTAAATTCGCTAATCAATGTAAATAATCACATGAATTGTATTTTTATGAATAATTCTTAGCCCTAGACTCTAATTTTAAAACTCATTTATGACATTTAAATATGCATTGAATCAACGCATGAAATAAACTTTTAAAAAATCATTTTTATTATTTTCATATTAATTGCTATGAAATACAATAAATTAGTTTTGACATCAAAGTCTACGGCTAAGAATTATACAAAGGAATAAAATTCACATGGTCTAACTAATAATATACTTTTTTATCTACAATTATCTTTATCAATTTTAAGCATAGGAATTATTTATTAATATTTTTTTTAATGTTAGTCACAATATTTAAGGTATTTTTTAAGAGATGTCTGTCCACTGGCTTTCATGCCCTCTTCAATACACTTCTTGTTAGAGTCGACCCATTCATCCCAATCCTGTTTCGGGATGTGTTTCAAAGTCTTCAAACATCGGCCGCTCTTAACATCGGCTGGTATTCTGTTATGATTTTTCTTTTTGCCGTCGATATAAACGGGTAATTCATCGAGACTTATAAACTCTTGTTGAGCTGTTTTAGTGTATTTAAACACTTTTTGGATGTGGTCGTCAAACAACTTAAGAGCCGTATTTATTACGGACTCTATTATAGGATTCAAATCGGAGATGACTGCCGTCTTTTTCACTATTATTTGAGGCTTTTTATTGGCAAATCGTATCACATCCATTAAAACCGCTAGTTTAATGCAAATAATCAAATTTGATCATGGTGGCATATTTGACAAATTAATTTTATTACCAGTACTTACATCTGAGTAAAAAATTCTCCATGCCCATATTTTTAATCAAGCCGAACAATGTGTAGTTTGTTTTTGCATTTTTTGTTGCAAAATTGTCAATTTGTGATACAATGAATTGTCGATACAGTTTATTAATGTCGTCGTTTTCGCCCAACAGTAAACATTTTCCAATGGCAACCAAGACGGGTGCGCCCGCTTTGTTTTTGAGCCCTTCCAGCAAAAAACCAGTGGCGTAAAACTCAGCTGGGTAATACTCTTTCACAACTGTCTTGTTATATTCATACGTGTAAACTATTGATGGTAAAATAGATGCAATGCATAGCATTAATGCGTTACAAATCATGATCAATTATTTAGTAATAATAAGCATTTTATTCAAATATTGTTATAAACAAAAATGTAATAAAGATGAGGAATATTTTAATTTAAAATTAATTGATTTTTTAAAAATGTGTTTTAACTTTATATTAAATTGATGTTACACTACAGTATGTAATATTCATATCTATTTAAAAACATCACTTCTAAGTTATTCATTTCTCAAAAAATTAATTATTTTTAAAATAAGCATATCGGCCAAACAAATGCTTAAATCAACTATATAATTAAAAACATTATAAATACAGCTTAGGTGTTAACAATATGATACCACATTTACAAATTTTAATATTTACCACTTATTTTATCACGATTTATTATAATACCCATTTTTTAAATTATATACATAAATATTAAATTATTTGTAAATTTTATTAATAACAAAATCTTTAACTTTTCTTTAAAATTAAATAAAGTTTTTTTTTTAAATTAATTAATAGATAATCACTGAGTCGTGTAACCGGAAAAGACGTTCTCTCTCTCTCTCTCTCTCTCTCTCTCTTTCTTTCTTTCTGTCTTTCTCTCTAACTCTTTGAATGTTTCCTAATATACAGCAAATGATC